ACAAACAGAATAGGATCTACCCCCCCCGGCGTTATCGGTCCCCCTTTCGGGTATGTAAATCAAATATGATTCTGGCCACATGTCCATCCTAAACATGAATTCGCAATGACATGGGACGAAGTGCGCACGCGCGCGTCGTCGCGCGCGCATGCCGAAATCCTTCAAAAACCTTCGGTGCCAGAAGGATTTCGCAATCGAGTTCCCAAAACAACATACAAAAACACCTGGTTTCGCAACACTGATTTGCTAAAAAAGCTTCCGCGCGAGCTCTTGCGAAATCTTAAGAAAACCATGCGTTTTTTTTTCAAGATTTTCACAACATGCTACCAAGCGGGCTTCGCGCGCGCGCATGTCGAAATCTGTCGAACGCCCTTGCGCGTGTGCCGTCGCGAGAATCCTCCGCAAGAAATGAGACGAAGTGCAGACGCGCGCGTCGTCGCGCGCGTATGCCGAAATCCTTCAAAACCCATCGGTTTCGGAAGGATTTCAAAATCGTGTCCAAAAAACCTACAAAAACACAATGTTTCGCAACACAGAGTTGCTAAAACAGCTTCCGCGCGAGCTCTTGCGAAATCTTAAGAAAGCCATCGCATTTTCAAGATTTTCACAAAATGCTACCAAACGGGCTTCGCGCGCGCATGTCGAAATCTGTCGAACGCCCTTGCGCGTGTGCCGTCGCGAGAATCCCCTGCAAAAAGAAACCACGAAGTGCAGACGCGAGCGTCGTCGCGCGCGTACGCCGAAAACCTTCAAAACCCATCGGTTTCGGAAGGATTTCAAAACCATGTGTCCAAAAAAACCTGCAAAAACACAAGGTTTCGCAACACGGATTTTCAACAAAAGCGTGCGCGCGCGCTCTTGCGTCTTCGTCGTCGTCGTCGCCGTCCTCCCTCCTCCCGCGTCGTCGTCGTCGCCTACGTCGTCCTTTGTCTTTCCTCGTGTTCGTCGTCGTCATCTTTGGCGTCATGGTCGTTTCCGTCGTCGTTGTCGCCGTGGTCGTCCTTCCTCCTCCTCCCTCGTCGTCGTCGTCGTCGTCCGTCGTCGGCGTCTCGTCGTCGTCCTTCCTATTTCGTCGCCGTCGTCGTCGTCGTCGTCGTCGTCGTCGTCTTCCCTCCTCCCTCGTCGTTGTCGTCGTCGGCGTCGCCGTCCTTCCTCCTTCTTCGTCGTTCGCGTCGTCGCCGTCCTCCCTCCTCCCTCTTCGTTGTCGTCGTTATCGTCGTTGTCGCCGTCGTCGTCATTCCTCCTCCCTCGTCGTCTTCGTTGGCGACGTCGTCGTCGTCTTCGTCGTCGTCGTCGGCGTCGTTGTCGTCTTCGTCGTCGTCAACGTCGGCGTCGTCGTCGTCGCCACCGTCGTCGTCGTCGTCGTCGTCGTCGTCGGCGTCGGCGTCGGCGTCGTCGTGTCGTTGACGTCGTCGTCGCCGGTGTCGTCGTCATCGTCGTCGTCGGCGTCGTCATCGTCGTCGTCGTTGTCATCGTCGTCGTCGTCGTCGTCGTCGGTGTCGGCGTCGTCGTCGTCGTCGTCGGTGTCGTCGTCGTCGTCGTTGTTGTCGGCGTCGTCGAAGTCGTTGGAGACGTCGTCGGTGTCGTCGTAGTCGTTGTCGCTGTCGTCGTCGGCGTCGCTGGTGTTGCCAAGTGCCATTTGGTACCCACCGTCACGGTCTTAAGAGATTTTGCAAACCAAGTTGCGGGTGGGTGGGTGGGATGTCTGCGCGAGCAGTGGAGTGGACAACTCACTGCGAACAGAAATTAACACACAGATGATATACCGATATATGTGTATATATATGTATACAAGACTGCGTTGGCGCTTCGCGCGTTCTTAAAGCTCAGCATGCAGGAGAACCAAATATAGCGATGATTCATTGTTGCCGTTTGCGCCATCGTCGTTATAGTAATGTTATGTACTATCCTTATACTTCCTCTCCTCTTACTCGTAATCTTCCTTGTCTGCGAGCCACTCCTTGTCCTCATCCCCAGTTTTTATTGCAGGGGCCCCTCTTTGGAGGTGTTCTTGGGCCCCTCTCAAAAGCTTTTTGGGGACCTCTGGGGGCCTCCTGGGCGCCTTTTGGGGGCCTCTGGGGGCTTCGTGCAACCACCTTGCTACCAACCACGGTCTCCCTGAACGACCGGGTCACGATTTGGAGTGCTTCGGGAGGCGTCTTGGGGCCATCTGGGGCTGTCAGCGGGGCTCTCTTGGGGCCATCTTGCGGCCCTGTTGGACCATATTGGGGCTCTTTTGGACTGTCTGGAAGCCCTTTGACACCGTTGTGGGAGGATGTTTGGGGCCTCTTCGGCGGACTCGGACGCACGGAATACCGAAGAACCGAATGTCCAAAAATTAAATAAAAAACGAAATGAAAGTGTTTTTTTGGCACTTGGAGGACCTCTTGGGAGTCTTCTTTGGGTCGTCTTCGGGCGTCTTGGGGCTGTCTGGGGCCGCGTGGGGCTCTCGCGGGGCCGTTGGGCCGCCCTCCTGACCGCTTTGGGCCCGCTGGCAAGGCCCGGCAGCGGCGTCCAGGAGGCCCGGAAGGCCCGGGGGACCCCTTGCAAGGCGTCCAGGGGGCCCCAAAAGCGCCAGATCCCGGGGGCCCGATTTTCCTGGGGGGGAGGGGTCCCACCCCCCCGGATTGTACAAATATAGAAAAGGTAATATATATATACACATATAAATCTATATACATATATATATATATATATATATGTATGTATGTGTGTATATATATATATACATATACAGATACATAGACACACGCACACACACAAACACGTCGAATTTTTTGCTGGCGGCCTTTCGGGGACACGGCAGGGCGCCCCGCCGACAACCGCAATCATGGAAACCATAGGTCACCTAACTTTGCGCATCGCGCTCCGCGATGCGCGACGCGCGGTTATCTTCGTGCCCTCGGGCCGTCACCTCGCAGAAGGGAAGCTTCTTTGGAGCCCAGCCCAGACCGCGACGCGCGGTTATCTCTCCGTGCTCCCACGGGTAACCTAAGAAACCGCCATTCGGGGATCTTCGCGGGTGTTCCCTGTCTGGGTCGCCAAAGTGCTGCGTGAGACCGCGAGAACATTCACGGCCTCGCGCAAGAAGGAACACCCCTTCTGTCGCGGAACGCGGTCATCTTGGCGCACACGTGGGTGACCACTTCTAGTTTGAGGGGCGCTAGGAAAACTAGGGAAGGGAAGAGGAAACTGGTGAAGCAAAAGCTAGCGCGTCAGCGCCGAAGGGAGAAGCTGAACACGGTTTCGCCGACAACTTACCCATAGTACAAGTGAGACGAGCAGGAAAATCTCAGTCGATGCGGGAGAACGAGTATGGAGCGGAGGAGGGGGAGGAGTGAGCAGGATGATAAGGACGAGTGAGAGGGAGGAGCAAGACGGAGGGAGGAAGATGAGAAGGACGGGAAAGGAGAAACCGGGACACCCAAAGATCTAGCACAATATCTTCAAGGAGCCACACCGAACATGTCGTGTCGAAGACTTGAGACCTTTCTGCGGCTGGCTACGGCTTTAGCCCTGACGATGACGACTACCGCCCAACTTCTCATGTTACAGGGCAGAGCATCAACATGTGTTGCTCGTGAATGCGATTGGGCCTAAAGGCCGAAATCGGAAAACCGAGTGCGATCGATCGTGTTACACCGATATGGCAGATTCTTTTTCAGGGGGGTGCCGACCCCAATGCCAGACGAGGAATATCTCTTGAATGCGCTGGGCTGCCCAAAGGTTGTGAACATATCGAAGGGTTGGGGACGGGCGCTTACGATGATCTGCTTTTCCTCTTGCGCATGATATAAGCCCACAACATGTATCAACAAGGGTTGGGCGCTTACGAAGATATGCCTAATTTTCTGCGAAGGTCCCGAAAATGCACCACGATGACCTCTGTCCGAGGGAAACAAGATGATGATGGTGGTGGTGATGATGATGATGATGATAATGATGATGATGCTGATGATGGTAGCGACGATGATGACGATGCTGATGATGATGGTGATGCTGATGAAAATTGTATCGACGATGATGATGATGATGATGATGATGATGATGATGATGATGACGGCGGCGATGATGATGAAGATGATGCTGAGGATGATGATGATCGCACGTAGCTTCGAGCAACGCGTTCTTTGTCTCAGGCCATCAGCAAGCGACTCGCCACAGCGAACACCTCAAGGTGCTCTCGTTGTAAAGTGACTGAGAGGGCTATCCAATTGACCGCACCCTGGGTTTGTGGTAAAGTTTGAACGCCAAGGCGAGGAGGAAAACTGTGCGTTCCCGCGAAGTTTCCCCCGAATACTCGTGCTCCTCACCGAACCCCAGACGTGTGATGACAGAGGGTGGGGGGGAGGAGCGGGGAAGGGCGACGGGGTGAAGCAGGCGAGGGCAGGAGAGGTAATGAGAAATCGAATCAGGTCCCCTTTCGCACCCAAAGACGCACCCCCGCTGGCCCAGCTTCTGCAGCATCAAATGAAAACGGTCTGGGTATAGCTTTCGGAGGGCACGAGTGCTTCAGGAGCCTCTCGGCGAGGGCGGCTGCTTGGTTGGCCTCGGCAGCCGCGGAGCGCTGGGGGCCAGAGGGGACCTCCGGGAACGCGATCGATTCGAGACGGGCGCGCAGGAACTGAACTATGCTTTAGTCGCGCCAAAGCGGCGGGGACCAAAGCTGCTGAACGTGGCGGACGAGGGTGTTGCCTGACCACGAGGTTTCTTCCAACTCGTCGTGCCAGGCAAGGAAGTTGGAGATCGTGGCGCGCGCCGTGCGCCAGCTGATCGCAGCACAATCTGCGGCAATGGATGTCGGGGTCTATCCAGGTGCCCATGCGCGCAGCGACCAAAGGTCATGGCCCGTCATCGAGCTCGGCGGCAGCTTCAGGAGCTTATGGATGCAGCGCGGCTCTTTTGCGAGCAGCGCTTTTGGCGGCGGGTAATATTGCGCCACATAGCCTGGGGTGGGGAGAATTACAACGTGGCAGAGGCGGAGCGAGGAGTCAGGAGGCGAGTCGAAGGCCGAGGTCTTCAGGATTCTCTCGCATGCCGTCCATTGCTGGGCATTCGCGGCGTCAGGGCCCAGGAACACGCCTAAATATGTGGCGGCACCTGCGATGGAAAAGGATTGCTATTCAGGGATCAATTGGCGCAGCATGGTGCGCACTTCCTGCACTGTGTCGTCTGTGCACTGAGCCAACAAGGGGACGATCACGCATTTTGAGGGGGTGGAGGCGGAGCGAAGCGAGGCTCGAGGCCGAGGCGATAGAGGGGTAGAGCGAAGTGAGATACGTGAACTTCGCCAGGACAGCGCCGAGGTCATCTGCACAGCCGCCAATCGAGGCTTCGCGAAGGTCAGGTGGGAGCGCCAGCTCCAGCGAACGAATGATGGGGTCCATGCCAAAGGCCCATAGGGAGCCGCTGAGCGGGCATCCTTGCATGACCCCTGAACTGATCATCAACAGTGGGACCACCTCGTCGCGAACCCACGTCGAGGCCAGTGCCAGCGAGCACAGGCCGCGAGTCGCAGCGAGGTACCCTGGCGGTAACCCCATGCGCTCGAGGACCGCCAACAACCACGTGCGACTCATGCTTGGGAGCGCTGCTTTGATATTAAGGGCGGCAAAGAGCGGGAGGCGGCAGTCGGCCTGTTCGTGAAATCCGACCGCTCTCGCTCGTGCGTCCAGCTTGGCAATATTCTGGCAAAAGTTGCGACCGCGGATGAACCTCTGCTGGGTCTCGTGGACCCTGCTCTGTGCAAGCTTTGTGAGCTGATAGTTGATGGCCGAGGCGAACGCCTTGGAGTGACAGTTCTTGAAAGAGAGCGGTCTGACCTCCGATGCGTCTCGCAGACATTCGAGTGCATCGCATGGTTTGTCGCCCTTCGGCGGGAATGCAAAAGTGGATTGGTTGAGGGAGGGAGGGCAGGGGAGGGCACTGAAGAGGCAAAGGAAGATGGGGTAGAGGGATTCAATGGCGGCAGGAACAGACATCCAAACCTGATCTGGAAGCCGATCTGGGCCAGGCGCGGACTTCCGACCCCGCTGGGAAGCTTGAAAGGGAGCAGCGGGCGACGGGATGGGCAGATCGGCGACAGGGAAAGACGGCGAGACCCTGTTCAGAAAGGCGTCGATTTCGTCCCTGGGAACATGCTTGTCCGAGAAAATCGGGGCCCAATGGAGCCGAAGGGCGTGGGCCACTTGCCTCGGCTCTCTGGCCACCGGTGGCAGGCTGATCCCACCTCCGATGGCGAGCGGATTCTATGCAATCTGACTGGTGGTGATGCCATGCAACTTGAAACGCTTCGATAAAGGTGCCCAAAGCGCGGCACGACGCTGTAGTGCGCGTTGGATGCGCCGTTGCTCCTCCAGAGACGGCAGGTCAATCGCTCGGGCCGCGCGTTGAGCCGCCAAATGCTGCTCGTGCTCATACCACGTGTGATTGTTGCGGATGACGGTATTTTGAGACTCAGTTGAGTCGAGGAGCTGAGGGGAGGATCCCGACACGTCCAAGAATCTCTGTCCCAACTCAGTGGTGGCAGCTAAAAGGCGGGCTGTGGGCAGATCGACGCGCCAAATTGCGCGGGCGATCGCTCTGAGACGGAGGCGCCTACTCTCCAGCACGCTCACGTCCCCTGTGCCGAGCGGGAGGCGCTGGAGCTCGTGGCGGGCGAGTTCGGCGGCCATGATCATGATCATGATCTGCTTTGTAACGTCGTAGCGGCGAAGGTCGGTCATGGTGTCCAACTCTGCCTCGTTGAACATCTTCGCGAGGAGGGACTTGTACTGCTTGGAGCGGAAGACAAAGTCGGGGATAGGGCGCTGGTCCTTCTCTGGTGGGTGACAGGATGGTGATGATGATGATGATGATGATGATGATGATGATGATGATGATGATGATGATGATGATTGTGATGATGATTATTATGGTGATAATGATGATGATGCTGCTGCTGATGATGATGATGCTGATGATCATGATGATGACGATGATGATGGTGATGATGGTGATGATGATGATGACGATGATGATGATGACGATGACGATGACGATGACGATGATGATGATGATGATGATGATGATGATGATGATGATGATGATGATGATGATGATGATGATGATGATGATGATGATGATGATGGGCATCAGGCTGTTTTTAGTTCCTGTCGCAGGCGCTGTACCGACGCGAGTGTAGCGCATCTTTTCTGGGCAGCAGCAGAAGCAACAATGGCAGCAACAGTAGCAGCAGCAGCTGCGTCACGTGTGCGAGCATTGTCTTTGTCCGCACTTAAATTGCTCCCGCACCTTGCACCACACCCGGCTGAGTGGAGCAACGCTCGTGGTGCAAGCTGGAGGGTTCCTGGCCTCGTCAGGACAGTATCCTTTCGTTGACAGTAACAACGAAGAGGGGGGCGAAGCCGACGGCCGCCACGTGGGTGAGACGCGCGCTCACACGATGTCAAGCTCGGCCCGCAGGTCGAGGTTGCAGGCGAGGCCCTGGGTGGCGATGGCCTTCGGGGCAGAAGGGTCTGTTCCGTTCCTGCCTGCCCCTGTCCTCCCCTTTCTTCTCCTCCCCTGCCCTCCCCTGCCCCCATATCGTCCCTCTCCTACGTCCCTCGCCCCCTGTCCACCCTCCTTCCTCTACTCGCCCCCTGCCTCCCCTTCCTTTCTTTTCCCGCGAAACGCAACCCCAAATCATCCTCTCGCGCATCCGCCGGCACTGCCTGCAGAAACGTGAAACAGATCCGGACAACAAAAAAAAGAGAGAGAGAGGAACAGCAGGAGGGAATGTGCACCGTGCCTGCCACGGCTGCCACACGCACGGGTTGATTACCGCGCAGCACTACCTGGAGGAAGCGGAGGAGGAGGAGAAGGAGGAGGAGGAGGAGGAGACCAGAGAAAATGATGCAAGATGGATGTTGGGAACAATGATTTTCTGCAAACCGAAATAAAACGCACTGGTGAAACACAGGCAAAACTGCTGCTGTTGTTGCTGCCCTGACACAGTCAACTGGAGCAGCACTTAACTTGCACATTGTCCTTGGCCGTGGATGCCCGCAGCCTTGACGATCTCGTGGCCGTTAGGTAGGTCGACCGTGCACCGGCGAGCGGAGTTACGGTGGTCGACCTTGTGCCACAGTCACACGAGTCGCCTCTTCACTGCTTGGTGAGGGAATTGTGCTGGGAGCTCGGGACGGCCTCGTCGCTGAACTCGTTTATCCTGGTAGCTGGTCGGGCCGTCCATCGCGTTGAATTGAGCCCCCGGCCCATGCTGCCCTTGGTCATGGGGTCGGCCCGCATGTCCCGAGTGTCGCACCAGAGTAGGTCCTCCATTTGCTTGATGCGCAGCTGGCCAGCCAAGCGCCACAGGTGGCCTGCCGTGCTGATCTCAGAAGGCGGCCGCACCAGATCCATGAGCAGGGGACTGAAGATGGACATGCTGTCGATGACGAGATCTGCGATAGCGTGACCTCCCTCCTCCTCGACCCCCCCTTATTTCCTCGGCACGCGCGGGGCCGTGCTCCATCTCGCGCAACGCGAGGAGGCACGCCTGCAGTCGGTCGGCTGCGACGCATGCTGCGAGCAGGTCTGGGCCGAACGAAGATCTGCGCGCCAACTTGTGCGATCGGCTTACTGCGTCTAACAAATGGCACACCTGTTTCCCGGTGTGGCGGCACTTGCCGAGGCGAATGTAGACGGCTCCTCTCATGCCGTATCCTGTCATCTCCTCCCTCTTGAACGACCCGTCGCTGTGCGCGCTGAGTCGCCTGGCGCACGTCTTGGCTGGAAACGCGATGCGATCCTTGGTCTTTCGCGTGGTCAGAAAACTGAGGTGAGTTGCGTCACGTGTCGGATGAGCAGCTTGTTCTCGGCTCGCTGCAGGGCGACGATGCACCCGTCGACGCGGCGCTGGGCGAGCCTGGGCGTGGGCCGCTGCTCCCCGGAGGGAGACGAAGAGGCCTGGGCGCCGACCTCGACTGGCTCGTCGGCCTTGGCGCTGGCCGGGTCGACGCGTCTGATCGGCGTGAGAAAATCGATGTACTCGTCCTGGTCGAGCGCCACGGTGCCATCGGCACTTCGGTGCTGGCGTACGTCGCAGAAGGTAACATCGTCGTCATCACCCTTCGTCTTGCCGAAGACGCTCTCGATATGGCCGATTAGCCGGCCGACGTGCTGCTTGCGTCCAGCCGGCCATCAACGCGCCTGGACACCGCGGGCACTAACTCTGACCCCCTGGTGCCACAGGCGCCAGACGCCTCGTGCTTGACGTCGAGCTCCGGGCCCCGCCGACACCGCCGAATAGGTTTGGCGCTGCGCACAGGAAGGCGCGCGAGTGGGCGAGCTTCGCGGAGATGGCTCGGGGGCGCGTCCTCGCAGCCCGTGCCCGGCCTGATGCAATGCAAGCACTCGTTCTGGTCATCGTAGTTCGCATGGCCGGGCACCTGCCGGAGCGCGGCGGCACTGCAGGTGGCAGGGTGAAGTTCGCCTCGCGCGGGGTACTTCGCCTTGTTCCTGCATCTCGGCTTAGGCCGCGCCTTGCAGGGGCGCCTTCTCGACGCCCACAGCGACGCGCGCCCGGTCTAGGCGACGCGACGCCCCCGGGGACAGCGGGCGCCGCGACGCCCGCTTCGCCGCGCCAACGAACTTTTCCAGGGCTCCGGCGCCCATGTCGCGGAAGCCCCTCAGCGCAGCGCGGCGCCGGGTGATCCGGGCAGCCTTGCCGCCTGATCTCTCCCAGTGCTTCCACTTGAAGACGCGTTTGGAATCCATCGCGTTTCGGGGGCCCTTGTTCAGTCGCCCCTCGACGCAATTGTACTTGACTCGACCCAGACAGTAAGCGCTTCGAGGGTGACCACAGCGACCTCCGCTGTCGGTCTCGACACTTCCCCGTTTGTCAGAAGGTCGGCTCGGCGTCGCGCTTGGCGGCCGCGATCTCAACGTCGGCACGCGCGTGAAGCGCGGCTGCCTGGGGAGCGCTGGCGACGCAGTCACTGGGCGCTGCCTCGTTGAAGCTCAGGATTGCTTCGCGCGCTCCTGGGTCATGGTACAACTCCACATGCCTTTCTCCTTCGCGCTCCGCCTCCAGCGCGGCGTAATCGCCCAAGGAGGCCACGCGCAGGAAGTCGCGGCACTGCGCGTGGATGCACTGACGCTGGCGCTGCGTCTCGAGGCGCTGGCGCCACCCATGGGGCCAGCGGCCAAAGCTGGCCGCGGCGTGCTCGACGGCAGCGTAGATGCGTAGATACTATGCTGACTGTCGGCGGTCTCTGGCTCCTTGAGCGTCTGACGTAGATCTTCTGCCCTTTCGATTTCGCGCCAGGCTGCCATCGTCACCTGATGGGCGTGGCGGAGAAGCCGCCGTCGGCCCCCTCGGGCATGGCCGACGCGGCCGATGGTGAACCGCCCTCGGTGGTGTTGGCGGCGTCCTTGGGGCCTTCGCGATGACGCAGTCATCGAACGACTCGTCTAGGTCTGGTCCAGCGTCTGCTACCAGCAACGGCTCGTGACCCAAGAAAAGCTGAATGACGCGAGCTTCCTCCCAACGCTCGCCGAAAATCTGGCGGGCGTCGAACTTGGCGCCGTTGAGATGGATCTGCGGGACGTCGATCGGGTGCTGAGGAAGACGTCAGATAGCAAAGCTGCGAGCGCAGCCCGTCCAATTTCCCACAAATTTCTGGCCGCTAATAATCCGCGCGGCGCAAGCGTCTGGTGGCAGCTGGAATCATCTGCGGGGCAGCTGGCGCAGGGCTTCGAGAATATCGAGGCGCCGTCAAGTCTGCTCGATGATCGGCCCGCCCTCCGCGTTCTCCCAGCGGCCGACGGTTCGCCGGGAGCCTGGCGCGACGTGCTCCAGGTAGTCGCGCGCGCGGTCCTTGCCCACGTCGTCGCAGCAGGCGGCGCCGATGAAGGCCCGGGCATCTTGCAATCAGCGCGCCACCTCGGCACCGCGGTACTTGACCGCGACCTTTTCTCGAGCCGCGTCTACAGAGATGACCGTCACAGGGCGGGCCCATCCCGACGCGTCTTTCTTGCCTGGGGACCTGTGGACCTCCGCCTGGTCGCCGAGGTTGAAGCGGCCCTCCCCGGACTCGGTGGCGCGGGTCCTGAGGGCGCGGCCGACGCGCGAGATCAACGCGGCCTCTGCCATGCGTTGCAGAGGGATCTCTCGGATGCGCCACAGCAATCGGCTGGGTTGCACTTCGCCACCAGCAGAAGGCCCAGCACTGGTGCCGCAGGCTCCAGATGTCTCACCCTCTTCGTCTGCTTCGAGCGGTGACAGCATGGATGGCGGCCGTCCGAAGACGACGTTGCATGGTGCAGCGCCCACGCGGGTGAGACTGCTAGCATGCTAGCATGGAGTCGAAGTTCGCCGCGGCACCTTCGAGCTCTAGCTGCTCTACTGCGGTGTGAAGTGCGTGCCGTAGCATGGCGCCACGTCGCTCGATGAAGCGAGCGCGCCGACGAGGGGCTCGAATTTCCACCTGCACTCCTCGCCTCTACATCTCCTCCACGAAACATGGCGAGGTCTCCCCGCCCTTGCCGTTCACGATGGACGTCTCCATCGAGCCGAACAGCTGAATCCTTGAACGGCCGATGGCGAAAAGCAGCGTCGAGCGGCGCTTGGTTATATCTCTTGGCCGTCATGCCATCGTGGGGCGCAGTGCATCAAGTGGATGATCGCGCGATCGTCGTAGCACATGATGCCGCACTCGACGTGCTGATTAATGTCGAGAGGCGGAGTGTATGGATGGTCTGGCGCGCTGGCGGCGGCCACTTTCAGCGCCCCCTACAGTCGTTGACTACCGAGGGCATGAGGTCGAGGATGCTCTGTGGCATGCCGGCTGCTCGTAGTGCTCGTGCCATTTCCCCCCAAGTGGCGCGCCACCACCGGGGGTGCAGCTTGCGCAGTTCCCGCGTGCGTGTCACATGCGAGTCACCGCGGAGTGTTCGTAGGGATGTGGTGACGTCGAAGCGAGTCCAATGTGGGCGTCAGGTTGCCTACAGCTCCGTCGGCAGCTCGCGGCGCTGACCGCCGGGGCCTTGCACCTGCTGCTGGACTGCATCCCCGATCGAGTGACGCAGTCAACTGAACCACTGCCGTGAGCCCCGGCGCTCGATGATGAGCTGGCTCCTGATTCTCCTGCGGGCGCGGGTGGCGCCGGCTGCTGCTCCAAGGTCTGCGCCGCTGGGTAATTGAGCTGCTGGTCGCTGGAATGATGCGGCCCCCCGGGCCGCGCTGGTGCTCGCGGGCGTTGGCTGGCGCGTGGGCGCGGCCGTATGTGGGGGTCCGCGAATCTGCGCTTGCCGAACTCGCGGGCGCGCGCGGGGCGGTCGCGTTCCTTCTCTTCCTGGCAGCCAGGGCACTCCCAGTGGATCGGGGCGCTGTGAAAATAGCGGCACGTTGCTGGGCCCCTGGGGGTGCATGGGCGACTCTGCCCGCACGTTGCGCTCGCGCGCCTCGCAGGCGTACCGCGCGCGCTCGGACGCCGCGGGACGTCTGATCTCGCCCT